GGGGGGGGTTGGCCACTCTAGGTGACATTTGAGCTGAGGCCTGCCTGATAAAAAGGAGCTGGGCTTGCAAAGTTCTAGAGAAAGAGCAATATAACAGACAAGCACCACAGACATGAAGGCCCACAGTGGACCTGGCAAGTCCTCCCTTCCTTGGGGACGGCGTGCTTTCTGTTGGCCCTCAGACTTGGTTGCCCGTGGGTCAGGGCGTCTCTAGCACCACAGAAGCCACTTGACTCCTGGCCTTTCCAGGCATGACCCCCAGTGCTCCCCAGGGAAGTGTCTGTCCTGGTCCTGGATTCCTCCCATCTTATCTTTCCTGGGAAGTCATGCCACAAGTTAACCCTTTGCCAGCTGGCTCTGAAGTTCCTGTCACACGAGGAGGCCTATTGGCCGTTTCTTTGGTCTCACAGCTGGGGAGCCTGCAGGGATCTGCTCCTCTCAGTGACCTGACCACCTAGGCTAATGTCCACTCTTACCTTCACCCCACACTCTGTCTTCTGGCCCCTACTTCATATGCTCCTCATGCCCATTACTGAGTCAGTCTTGCCATGGTCTTTCCCCACAAAGAAACAAGATGCATTTCCTCTTCGTGGTGGTGAGAAAGGATCCATGACCCCTGGAGGTGGGGTGGGGGCTGCTGGGACACTCACTAGCCAGGACTTGCCTTACCTGCTACACAGAACCAGTCCCAGCTTCCTTGGAGATCTTCAGGGTCTTGAGAAAAGTTGACCCCACCAAAGTCAAATCCTCAGAGCTAACCAATCAGAAGTTCTAGACAGGGAGTTTCAGACTGCAGGCAGAGTCTTGAATCTGAGGACTTTGGTGATATACCCACAACATATACAGACTCGTGTATTTCCTTGAACACATTGCTTTTGATTGGTACTTTTCACCTTTCATTGTGAATTACAGTCTTATTCTGATGTTCCCATTTAACGGATAGGAAAATGGAGGTTCCTGCTGCCAAACTAGCACTGAGGTTGCGGAAAGGGGAACGGGGACTCCCGTGTTCCTTCCTCTTGCACCCAGGAATAGACACTCCCAGCCCCTCTCCCCTATCCTGCAGCAAGGCATTAGGGATGGGGGTAGAGAATGGGTCTCACGGGCCCAGGCTGTGTTCCTCCAGGGAGAATGTGTTGCGAAACCTAGCGGACAAGGTCTTTGACAAGCCCATCTGTGAGGCCCTCTTGGACCAGAGGTTCTTCAACGGCATTGGCAACTATCTTCGGGCAGAGATCCTGTACCGGTCAGCAGGCAAGCCACGAGGACTAGGGAGGGCTGGGTGCACCCACATTCCCTACTACTTAGCCTGGCTCCCTCTCCACCCCACTTCAGATTGAAGATACCCCCCTTCGAGAAAGCCCGCGAGGTTCTGGAGGCGCTGCAGCAGCACAGGCCGGTGAGAGTGCAGGAAGGAATGTGCATGTACCTATCAGAGCAGGCCAACAAGTGTATGGCTGGGTCAGGTGTCTCCAGCTTAGCTCAAGTACATCCTTTCTTGGCTTTGGGTCCATTTCCCTTTCCCTGCAGTGTGGGCGGTAGGGGGTTGGGCGGGGGGTTGCTGCTAAGGCATGGTCTCTGAGTCCTGTCAAGCTCAGGGGTTCTGCTCCCTGGGACTCAGCTGCCTTCTCAGTGGTCCTGCGTCAAGCTGACAGCCAGGTCCTGCCCTGCCCCTTCTCCAGAGCCCGGAGCTAACCCTGAGCCAGAAGATCAGGGCGAAGCTGCAGAACCCAGACCTGCTGGAACTGTGTCACTCAGTGCCCAAGGAAGTGGTCCAGCTGGGTGAGGCCTGGGAGGCAGAGATGGCTAACTACCTGTGCTTCAGCATGTTGTGTAACCTCAGGGCAATTCCTGCCCCACCTGGGGCATGGATGTTTGTAGATCTAGTTGTTGCTGAATGGACTAGGCCTACTCACTTGTCAGGTATCTGTATCCTCTGAGGTGCCCATGAGGCAGGCAGGACAAGGATTACCAACCCCACTCCAGGTTGGGAAAGCCATGGCCCAGAGTGGGGAAGACACCAGCCCGAGGGCATGCACAGCTGGAGGAGGGAGAGCCTCGGCCCTCTGACTCAGCCCATCAGCTATATAGCTGAGGTCTGGGCCAAGTTGACCAGGCTCCCCCTTCTCTCAGCCCGAGTCAGCCCTCTGACTTCCGCCTGGTTCCTCTGTCCCACAGGGGGCAAAGGTTACGGGCCGGAGAGCGGAGAGGAGGACTTTGCTGCCTTTCGGGCATGGCTACAGTGCTATGGCATGCCGGGCATGAGCTCCCTGCAGGACGGGCGTGGCCGCACCATCTGGTTCCAGGTTTGGGCCCTAATCTCACACAGTCAAATGGAGATCCCAAGGAAGCTAGTGGGGCAGACAGATCTGGGGTCACAGTGAGGCAGGAGCTGGGGTCTCTGAAGTGGAGATGCCCAGGGCCTGTCATGACCCCCAAGGATCACACTGTTCTGCATGGTCTATGTCTTCCCTGTGTTATGCCCCTCCTCTCCTCAATCCAAGGGTCCCAGCTAGTACAGCAGCCCAAGGCACGGTGGCCTTGTTGGTGTCCTTCACCTGGGGAAGAGGGGGTGGTCAGAGAGGATTCTCACCTGAGGAGAAGCTCCACCGATCTGGAAGGATGGTGAGCTCTGCCTCTCCAAGAGAAGGTACCCCTGCCCCAACCAGGTTGATTCCTCAATTCTCCTCATTCCATTTCAGGGGGATCCCGGACCCCTGGCACCCAAAGGTAGGCTACTCCTATTGTAACAAGCTAGGACAGCACAAAGAACTAGATGGCCTGCAAGAACTACCTCACCCTTCTCCACCCCAGTCCCCACTCCACTCCCAGAGTGGGAGAGTCTCCAGAAAGGGGGCTGAGGCCGCAGGTCCCTCCAAGCCCAGTGTCAATGTCCTGCAGGGGGCAAGTCCCGCAAGAAGAAATCCAAGGGAGCACAGCAGGGTCCTGAGCACGGATCAGAGGTATGGCTCTCTCCTCTGCCGTGGTAGCAGCTCCCAGGTGCCCTCCCTTGACAATGGGGGGCAGTGGTGGGTCCTCATCAACCTCTGAACTGCTCACTGAGCCCCTTGAGGACCTGGCTGTCCTCTACTCAGGACCCTCTCCTTCCAAGCACGGCCCCTTCCAGAACACGTGGGGCACAGAGAGGCCTTTCTGAGCAAACTACAGCCTGGCAGCCCGAGGGGACCAGCCTCTCGCAGGACCCAGAAGTCCCCCTAGTCCCTAAGAAAGGAAGAAGGAGGGGGAGACCAACAACCTCAGGTGGGCAACAGGCCTTCCTCAGCATTGTCCTCTGGGGAGAGGAGGGGCACCACCAAATGGGCTGTACAGGAGGCAGGGGCGGGGGGGTTGGGGGGAGTCCTCAGCCTGTGGTCTGAGCTGCCATCTCACCTGTCCTCCTCCCAGGCCCCCGCAGACCCCAAAAGATCAAAGCTGAGAATGGGGGGACCTGAGCCTCTTAGCAGGAGGGTCTCCCTGCTTGCATCCACCCCTTCCCTTTGCCTTGCCCTGGATCGAGGGGCCTGTGTAGCTTGCTGGAAGCAGGCTGGAGCTGAAGGTGCCTGGATGCCCCTGTGGCTGTTCCCTGCACAGCTATGATGTTTTACTGTACCCCACCTTCCCCATTTTTTAAGCCCATGTGAAAGATACTGTAATTTTTTTAATAAACTAATAAACTTGAGCTTCTTGGCACTTCTTGGGCTGGCTGCAGAAGGCCAAGTTGGGAGGACCTGCTGCCTGACCCTGGAGACAGGAGAGCCACTGGGGCAAGGCAGACTGAGCCCCATCCCCGTCCTCAGGGCCCTGGCCCTCACGCAATAGTCTGCCTCTGCAGGTACAGCCTGTCAGAGGTAGCACAGAGATCCTGGCCCTCAGCAGGCCCTCCAGTCCAGAATTCCCAGCACTGACATTGGTCAGTGCTCCTCTCCTAGTGGGTGGCTCATCAGAAGCCCTGGCTTCCTCCCCAGGGGAGGAACTTCTTCTCGCAGATCCCCTAGCCACCCTGTGGTCACTGAAATCCCAAATCTCTCCCAGGGGCTGCAACCCAGACCTTGTAGATCTTGCCCTTGCCCCCAAATGCCTGGGGAAAAGTCTTCCTCCCTTGGGAGTCTGGGGATAGGCCCTTCGGGAGTGAGCAGGGACTACAGCAGGGTTCCTGAGTCAAGGGTTTATTGTTCAAGAGGTGATGAATCAGGCTGGGGAGGTGGAAGTGAGCACCGCCCCCCCAGGCCTTCCACAAACAAAACCCCACCCTCAAGAGGCTCAGTTTGGTGGGGGTTGCAGCACCAGCAACAGGGACTGCACTTGGAAGGGAGAAAAGGTGAGCTTCAGGCGGTCGTCCTGAAGGGGCAGGTGGCCAGCGGGGTCGCGCCGCTCCAGGAGGTCGCAGCTGGAGAACAGGAGGGGTCACGAGGTCCCCGCGAGGGCAGGACTCCCACCCCCACCCCACGCCCCCACTCACAGGACGGCCTCCTGAACCGGCAGCGACGTGTGCAGCCAGCAGTCGACGTGGCTGCCGTGGGCCTCGTACAGCCGGAGGACCAGCGTGCGGCCCTGGGGGCTGGTCTCCGCCTGCGGAGGGAGGCGGGCGGTGGGCGGGGCCGAGGGTGGACCCAGCCGGGGACCCCGCCCCCGGCGCCACGCGGCCCCTTGCCTGTTTGACCGTCTCCAACACTACAGCAGGCGAGGACACCGAGAAGGCGCTCCAGGCGGCAGCGGGCGCCGGGCCCGGGGCAGGCAGCGCCAACAGGGGGAAGTTGAGGCTGTAGGCAGCGGGGATAACGCCAGCGTCCTGGAATGAGCCTGGAGATGGGGGTACGGGCGTGAGTGTGCTGGCGTTTTCTTCACTGGCCGCTGCGAGAAACCGGCTCAGAGAAGGGCAGAGAAGCGCCCGGCAGCAGCCCTCACCCTTGTGCGGCATCAGCGCGTAGGTGAACTCGTGGCGTCCCATGTCAGCGGTGGCGTCGGGGGCCTTAGGTGCCCGCAAGCTGGGGTGGGGAGGGTGGGTATGGGCCGGGCTGGAGCTGCTTCAGCTAGGAAGACCTGCGCCCCCACACCAGCACCCCGGGCCTGGCGGGCACTCCACTCACAGTGAGAGGCTGAGGACGTTGCCTCGGACTGAGGCGCCATACTTGCAGTCATTGAGCAGGGCCAGCCCGAAGCCGTGCTCCGACAGATCCATCCAGCGGTGGGCCCACACCTGGAGGGCAGACCCCAGACTCACTTGGTGGCCCTGCCTCCTCGTGCTCCTGAGCTCCTGTCACTACCCTGAGGGCCAGCCCTGGGGACCACAGGATTGAATTCCAGCTCTCACTACGGGAGACCCTGGGCACACCACCCAAACTGTCCAGGCCTCAGTTCTTCCTCTGCGAAATGGGCCTAACAGAATTTACCCCACCAAACGCGCATGAGTGTCAAACTAAACAAAGCATTTAGCAACAATGCCTAGCACAAAGTAGGAGCCAGCAAATCTTGATCACGGTTTGCTGACCCTACACCACACAACCACGCCCTCCCCAGCTGGGCAGGATCCAAACCCCCCACCCCACCCCATGTCAGACCTCAAATCGAGCCCAGTCCCAGGAGGTGTTGTGGTGGGTGGGCCGCTGCAGATGCCCGAACTGGACCTCATAGGTGGCCTGGGGGCTCCGCACACGGGCGGGGAACTCCACCTTCAGGAACTTGTGGGCCTCGTGCCAGTGCACCTGGAGTGGGAGGCCAGACGCACACAGGCCTGGGCGGCTCCCCCCTCACCAGCCACACTGGGGGAGGACGCCCACCACGCTGCCCTCTGCTACCTCGGTGTGGAAGCGGACGTAGGGGCAGCCAACATCCAGCACAACCTCCTGGCTGAGCCGACTGTGGGGGCTGATCTGCAGCAGGAACCAGGCACTGCCCCGCATGCCACCCTCGATGCCCACTGCCAAGGTCCCTGCCTGGCCCCGCACTGGCTTCCTGTGGGGCGGGGTGGCAGACCTGAGCCAGGGCAGGCTGATGGAGGGGGCCCACCACCGCCCGGGTCCTGCCCATGCCGTACCGTGTCTCCAAATGGTAGTCCATGACATCCCATGCATCCCAGTACAGGGGGACATCATCGAACAGCACAAACTGATTCCCCACGGTGCCCTCAGCAATGGCTTCCCTAGAAGGACACGGGGTTGGTGCTTTCGAACTTTATGACCTTGGTCTCTCCAGCTGCTTAAGGTGGGGTGGGGGCAGGGAGAGTAGGCCCAAAGGACAAGGGGATTCCTAGCCCAGTCTGCCCTGCTTCATGTGTGGGTTGCAGTCCAGACCCACTGAAGGGCTGCCGTGGGTAGTGCTGTGGCCAGGAGACAGAGGGAACAGGGTCTGGGGTCTACTTGTCAGGCACCGGAAGAGGGCAATAAGGAGTTGGCACCTGCCAGAGGCCACCAGCACCAGGGACGTCAGGCAGCCGGTTGGGTCCAGCCTCACCCGGATGATGCCGTTGTCCAGAGTCACAGAACCGTCAGTCTTGGTGGGAGGGGTCCTTGAAGCTGAGTCTGCAGGGGGCTTCCCACAACCAACAGCACCCCCAGCCCAGCCCCACCTCACCACTTGCTCCGGGCTGGGGAGCTCAGCATCCCCATGTTGTTAGGGACGGCCCAGGACGGGCCCTGCCCACCAGGACGTGCCTACACTTACCTCTTGCACTACAAACACGGGCTGCTGGGGCGGCAGGGGCTGCAATGAGGTGGGGGCAGGAGCATAGCCCATGCTGGGCACTGTCACCAGGGCTGGGGATGAGGCGTAGGTATCAGTGCAGCCTCCCTGCCCTTCTACGAGCCTTGTTCAGGGGGGCGGGAGGAGGGGCAGATACTTCCACTACTATTCTCCAGCCTGGGGCACCCCAGGGCAGTGACCCCCAGGGCAGCGTCCCCAACTCTGGGTCGGGCCTCGGTCCCTCCTACTGCAGTGGCAGCTTTTCTCTCCAGCTCATACCTAGGCTGTGGGCCCCACCAGGCCTGGGCAGGGCCAACACTTCAGTGCGCTTCCAAGGCAGCGTGTTGACAATGAGGAGGCCCTCAGGACCTGGCTCCCCAGCACACAGGGCTGCGGCTGCAGCACTGAGCAGTGTGTTGCCATGGGCACGGATGTCTGAGGAGAGACTGGCTGGTCACGGGTGGGCAGTGGGTCTGGGACGACCCCTGAGTATCCCATAGGACACCCTCAGGGCTCCACCCTTGGCATCGGGGACAGCGGCGGGAATGTCATCAGCCTCACCTTCATAGTGGCACATGGCTTCCTCTGCCACCAGCTCGATGCAGCTGCCGGTCACCACATCATGGAACTGGTTCAGGAGCAGGAGCCTGCAGGAGCCAAGGACAGGGATGGGGGAGGCCGGGAAGGGTGGCCACAGAGGTGTCGGGGAGGAGGTCAGGTTGGTGGCAGGGGCCAGAAGCCAGGCTGACCTCCAGAGGTCCTGCAGCTGGGCTGCCGGGTACAGGAACTGGGCACTGCGGGCCACGGCCAGGCTGCTGAGCAGCTCCACGTCATGCAGGATCCTCTCACACTCCCGGTTTCCCTTCTTGATCTGAGCAGGGATGGGGGGGATCTGTCCCAGGACACCTTCCAAGCCCTCCCCTGCTCAGAACCTGAGGCTCCCCAGGGCCTTCCGGATAAAGCCTCTTGTGGCTGACCTGCCCCGCATGCCTTCATCCTCTCCCCTCAGCCCACACCCACCCTTCTTCAGGGACACCCAGCCCTGTCTCTCCTCCAGGCCCCTGACCCATTCAGCTCCGGTACTTTTCTCCCCTCAGCGCCTCCCTGGAACACAAACCTCTTCCCCCAGGTCTAGACTAGACTCTATCCCCCACTTCCTCCTCTAACCCTCTGCAGACCCTCCCCGCTGGGCTCAATGACCAGCTCCTGACCTGGGCATGGGTGGTGTAGGTGCCATTATGTAACTCCAGAAAGAGCTCCCCGACCCATGTGCACAGCTGCCCTGAGTCGGTCTCCAGTGCCGAGAAGAGTCTCCCCGGAGAAGACAGCTGCACCCTGAGGGGGACCACAGCCTGGGTCTCCCAGTCTTGGGGCTACTACGTGGCTCACCCTTCCTCCACGCCAGAGTGGACAAGAGATCCAGCCCCAACAGAAAGGAGCCACCCCCAGAAAGTTCCCTGTCCACACAAAGCCAGTTCTGGACACGCCAGGAGAGTTCTCTCTCTGGTAGGTTTAAGCTCCTTCCCACCATCAGCTTTTTCCCCACCCCTCCCCCAGGGTGGGAGCTGGGAAGGGCCAGTGGTCCGGGATTGGAGCAGGATAAGGTTCAGTGGAGGAGTTGGACCCGATGTTTGAGCAGAAAGCAGGGCTGCGCAAGGGCAGAGTGAACAGTGAGGGCTGCCGGAGGGCCAGGTCCAACCTGGGCAGCCCATCTGTGTTGTGCAGCCGCTTCAAGCGGTCCACCATCGTCTGGGTGGGGCCACCACCCCCATCC